TATATTTACAATTTGTTGGTGTGCTCTCACTGCTGCTGCTTTACACAAAAGAGTGAAAAAATAGCTAAAAAATAAAGCTACAGCAAGAAACAAGCATAGGAGTTCTTATCTGTGCTTCGGCGTAAAGGCGGACTGCTACCCAAACAGCAAATGAGTTATGCTTGGAGCCTACGTAAATAATGTACTGGGGGCACGTATGCAAAATATTTGACAAACAAGTTGTCAATCCACATTAGACAGTAGGCAAAGAAATTTGGTTAATGATTTGTAGGCACTACTATGGCCAGAATTAATGGATTTAAAAAATTTTCGGCAGGTGGGAACCATATGTGCAGCCATCATTTTAGATGAATCTGGACACTTAATTTCTGAGAAAATCATCTTTCGAACCTTTAAATCATGACTTAGGAAGTTTTAGCTCCTAGGAGTGATGGATTTGTTAAGTACAGGGAGGAAAATGAACACATTCTTGTATAACTAAATGCATTTATTTAATGAAACATATGGTGCACAGCTGGTAGGACTGACTATCACAAAATAGTCTCACCCAGTGTTTTGGAATCTGATAGACCATTTTGGAACAGCAGATTAAAAAGCACTGAAGTTAATACTCATCTTCAATGGTGGTGCACAGTTGCCGGATATTGGCAGGAACTGGTACACATTGTCATATATGCTGATCCAGAGCATAACAAACATGCTCAATGGCTGACATGTCTGGTGGGTATGTTGGCCATGCAAGAACTCTTTAATTATGGTGTGCAATTAGCATCTTGATATGGCATACCTGTGAGGTGGGACGGATTATCTCAGCAAAGGATAAGTGTTTCCTATAACAGATTTAGACTGGTTTATGAACAATATTTGAGGGAAATTATTATATTGTGTGTGTAGAAAAAGTTTAAAATCTTAATTTTTTTAAAATTAAGAGTTCATAATAAAAAAAAAATGGAAGCAAAATTAAGTGTTGAGTTTATATTTTTGTTGATAAGTCTGATATGGTTGCACTTCGACTGAAAGGTTTTATCTTTAATATTCATATCAATCCTCATCAACCTTTCTGACCCCGAGAGCTACCTCATGGGCACTGATTAACATAAAGGGTATGTATGTGACACAAATTATTATTTGTTTTGTTTTTTATAGCTGCAGTTTACCTTTAATTGTCACGATTTCAGAAGAGGCCTGAACCCAACAACCAAAAACAAAGATTGAGTAAAAGATTTGAAAACAGCAAAACAATGGTCCCAACAGAACTGGGTGTCTCAAGTGGTCCAGGTTCAGCTCCAGCAGTGCGGGGTCCAATTTGAAAAAGGGAACCTTGGGGGCTTGGGGTTACAGGGAGCAGAGCTACAGTCATCAATAGTCCATCAGTTTGAAATCCTTTTCCAGTCCAGGGTCATGCACAGAAGATCACTTAGGCAAAGAAGTTCAAAAAAATCCAGCGGGCTTAATGAGTTTCAGCGTTTGGCAAGGTTCAGCAACAATCAGAAAAAAATACAACTCGCTTATGGTAAGGTCAGCGCATAGGCAGTGGTCAAAGACATGCCAGGTAATTCTTGTCTCATGAAGCAGCGCTTGGAAGCTGTGAAAGGCAGACAATCTTGCACAGAGCAGGGGAAGAGCAGGAGCTTAAATAGGGAGCCACCCAGGTGGGGACAATCAGTGCTCATCAGGAGACAAAATGAAAATCAATGTAAGAATTACCCAAACAACAGTTACAGGATCTAATGCTGAGAACAATAGCCCACACTTTCAGATTTGGGATTTCTTAACATTTTTTTTTTTTTTTTGAATGCTGGTATTTTTAAATCCACTCAAGGGCAAATAACAATTTAACAACAATCTAAAAGTCTCCGAAATTATTGATTTTGAAACGTTGTTGGAATTTTGCTATTTATTAAAAGAGAGCAAGAAATAAATGGTTTGAATAAATTACATACGTAAGATAAGAATTTAGTTCATAGTTTAAAATTAGTCCAAAGAATTCCATGCTAAAAACAGCCAAAAATGTTTTGGGTTTATATTAAATCGAAGTGATTTAAGCTGTATGTTTATTAGGTGAGGTAGTAAGTGCACTCCCATTTTCTCCGGAAAATCCCGTTTCAGCAGGTCAGCTAGAGAAACTGTTCATGTTGAAGTTAAAATTTGTTCTACATGCTTCTGCCATGGAAGATATTCATCTTAGTGAGTATTGCTTTGCTCAAAAGCAGGGGCGGATCTAGGATTCTAGGAGGTCAGGGGCTTAGCCCTGAGGGTGAAGGTGAGAGTGTAGACTTTCTGGTAAATCCCATTCTGATGTAAAATATGACAAATTACTGGATTAAAGAAATTTTAGGCATGCGACTCTCTATCACACATATTTCCTAAAAATATGGGAGAAGGAGGATAGAATGGATATTTCAGCTGCCTGAAATAATCCGTTCCCCCTCCATATCATGGGAAGAAATTAATTTACCTGCAGGTTTTTAACTGTGTTTATTCCTCTATTCATCAACAATAGATCCTGTGGATTTGGTGACATGTGATCATTATTTGCCGGAGTTATGAGAGGAAAATCAAATATTTTAGCCACCTGGACTGAGATGGGCTAAAATGGCAGCAGTGAGAGGGAAACATTTCTGCTTCTGTATGCTGCCACTCTCTGGTGAATTCCAGTACTGCACATTTTACTCAGATCAGCTTAGAAGCTTAGATCCGGGGCTCTTGGAAAAACAACCGGGGCTGTAGCCCATGTAGCCACCCCCTTGATCCGCCAATGCTCAAAAGGCACTTGAATATGCTTTGAAAGTATTTTCAGTAAAGAGCACAAGAAATGTTTCACAGATATATTTGTGCTAAAGTTAAACTAAGTGTAAAATGTACTGGTGATATTCAGATATGGATATTGGTCAGTGATTAGTTTTTTCCCCTTTTCTATATATTTTTGTTACAAAGAAATCAAATCCAGATTTATGAATAAAGGTCCTTAGGAGAATGCAAGAAAAGTAAGCCTTGTGTGGAGATTTTTCTTCATATTGTTTGCTGGCTGTCTAGCTTCACATTGTCACATTTTGTGAAGACATCACACTACTGCTCATGAAGCCCTCGTAGTTTTGCCAAACCTTTCTTTAGATTCTCTCTTCTGATATTTGTTTCTCCCCCTCACTGTTTGTGCTCCTCTGTTCTGACTCCTACAGGTTTAAAGGGATTATGAGGGGATTATTATTTATGTATTATAATGAGTATCCACCACTGGTTATCTGATGTGAAGGATCTCAGCTCCTGAATTTTACTGTGTGGCAGTGGTGGCTGGCCAATAGAGGGTGCTAGGGCGCCTTGATTAAGACATAAAAAAAAATTAAACGTAAACTATAAAATTTATATTTTTGTAATTTTAATTTATAAAAAATATTTTGAAATATATTGATATATATATGTATTTGGGTGTGCAAGTTAAATATTTAATCTTTAATGATGAGTAAAGCGTAATTTAATTTTTTGTCGGATTGGTGACGTATTTACGCCGTAGGGCGTTGTATAGTGGTTGGTCGTAGTGTTTTGCTTACTGTGGTGTTGACCAAAGGTAAGCAATAACCGGTCAGGGCAGGGCCATAATAGTGTGTTATTAATACTTAATAATATATAAAAAAAGTGTTTAGTTCTATGTAGAGGTAGTTTCTAATTACAGGCCACTAGCTTGAAATCAGATAAGTGACTTATTTGTAGCAATAGTCATTTGCCCATCTTTCAACCATTTCTTTGTATAAAATGTAAACTGTTGCCAAGTGTCTCTAAAACAGTCAAAGGTAAAGAGTTCAATATTAATTCAATTCAAAAATATGTTATTAATCCCAAAAGGAAATAAATGTTGCAGTAACTCATAATTTATTTTTAACCAGGTGTTGATAGCTGTGGGCAGGAGTGTTCTTCTGTATTGGTCTGCAGCTCTAATACAGAAACTGTTTTATCCAAAAGTTATGGACCTTAAATTCAAAGAGCACTCTCCCATGGAAGAGGAACGCGTTGTTCTCTTTACTGCTTGATCACATGATTTTACAAAAGTTTTTAGAGGCTGTGGAGCCAGATTATGAAGAATTTTAATCACTAAACTAACATTGGAGTAGAGCATAACGTTTCCAAATGTTAGTAATTTAAATTTTTTTCACAATACTACAGTAGTGGTATGAAAAACCTTTTTTGTCAAGTATTTGTAGAACTTGTTTGAAGAGACTTTTCAAAGACTTTTCAATGGCAAATATAATCTGATTAAATTTTACAGTTTTGATTAGTTTAGGAACGGTCCTGCATACTGTCTAATACCCTCCCTAAATATTTTGACAGATTAAACTTCATTAAGTTTGTCTCCTTCAACACTTATTTCAGGTGGGAGGTAAGGTTTTTTTTCATTTGGGGAAAAACATGCAAAAAGATTTATTAACGTTTACTTTAGAGCAGCTGCTTTTTCACTTGAATTTGCATGCGCATCTATCCGTGTCATATTTTTATGTTACTATCAGAATTGTATTAGGGGCCTTTGTGGTACCCTTTCAATCATGGGCCTTAGAATTTTTTTTCACCCCTTTAAGTCCCCAAGGCAAACAGGGTGACATACCTGTCTTTTTTTTGTATTGCTTGTAGGAGAGCAAACTGCTGAGAAATTATACCCCACCACCCTCTCTCCAACTCTGTTGTTCTTTTTTATTTTTTTTTTATTTTTTAATAAAGAAGGATTGTTAACTTTACTTAAATTGGACATGATATAATTATTTTGGATCAGTTTGCTTTATGTTTGAACTACATAAAAATCCAAATGGTTGCAGATCAACACATTTTCAAATAGGAATTTAAAAGAAAAGGAGCTTTTTTTTTTTTTTTTTACTTCAATGCCTGCCGAGTCAGGCAAGTACCTTGCACTTTGTACTTAAATAATCACTCCAATAAAATGATTTTGAGATGCAGTTTATTTATTGTTACACATGAAACATACACAAAGTAGAGACTCAAAAGAAATGCCGTATTTAAGAGCACCTGGCGTTGCAGTTGCATGCCAGGTGAGCCTGGGTAGTTTGTTTCAAGTCCACACTTCTGTCAAAAACACTGCTCTGAGAATCTGCAAAGGCAAGGGAAATGCACCAGTTAAGAATTTTGACTTTCAAACCAAAATTGTAATATATATGTATTCAAAAATTCTCACCAGATTGCAGACAGCTGAAACCAACAGTGACAGGGGTAGTCTTGATTGGCATGCATCCTGGCAGACAGCGAGGAACAGGCTCCACAGACAAGCATGTAGATTCGTCACCATGAATGGTCAACTGTTTTTCCAGCTGCACAGATTCCAGCTTCAGACGGCACTCTGTGGAAGGGCAATGATGGTAAGTAAGATTTTGCAAAAACAGCAGCAAATAATTTATTCATGTATGAAACATTCAGACACATATTTGATTTTACCAGAAACATCCCTGCAGCTTTCAGCAGGCAGAATCCAGGAGTGGGCAAAGCTGACTGAGTTCTTAGCCACGCGTCCGTTGGGAGTGCGGTACTCTTGTCTGATTTCTCCATCACCCTTTCCACAGAGTCCACAGGTCTTTCCTTTCATCCAGTCAGCAACCTTGATCTACATTGGATATTAAATGGGAGTTTAGAAAACAGAAATAAATATATATAAGCTTTCCCTAAAACCTTGCTTTTTATCTTTTCCAAGTTTTGGAAAGATAAAAGCTGAATATAAATACTTAGGATTTTACCTTCCATGTCTTCCTGTCAAAGTAGACTTCTTGGAGACCATGGCTAGGTGCATAAACAGCAATACCCTGTCCACTTTGTCTGATCTCAATGGAACCTGTAACAGTTTCATTATGCATACTTACTTACAATACTCAGAAATGAGTGAGATGATTAAGATTTATTGTAGTTAATGGTTAGGAGTGATTTCATAAATAAAGCTGAATGGAAAGTTCAGGGTAACCTGTTGGGTGGCGGTAAGGCAGGTTGCTGTGGGGAATTTCCATTTCGTTGACCTTCACAGTGACATTGTTGTCTTTTGGATACAAGTCAATATCTCTGAAAGCACATAAGTGACATCTTTGAGCTTTTGATCATGTTGTATATTGATGATAAAAAATCCTCTACTTTGCACTGGAAACTTACATCTCAGAAATCTTGACATTGATATGGTGTTGTTCTGACGAATCTTTCCTCAAGAGAACAATAAACTTCAGCTCATTGGTGCAATCCTGTGCTACAACCTGATAGCAGGAGGAGGGCATCATGTTCTTGAAACTCCTGTTGTTGAATGTGTAGAGTGTGTCTTCGAAGAAACTGCATTCAGCTGGAAAACAGCAATGAAAGATGCTTTTGTTTTTCTGGTCCAAGTTCACCTTAGTATCTTTATTTATGAAATATACATCCTGCAATACCTGCGACAGCCTTGGAAACCATGAAGTGGATTCTGTCAAGGACTTCTTCAAAGGGGCTTAGACCCTTGAGCTCATTGATGGGCATAGACATGGGAAGGCGCACAGTGACATTGTAGGAAGTGTTCTGAAAGAAGAGTTAATTTATATAATCATAGAAACAACACAAATATAGCTCTTACTTTCTGCTGGG